ATAATAAATTCTACTACAGCAGCAGCAATAAATCCCCTGGCAATATCAATAAATCTCCAGCAGCATCAACACATCCCAGGAGAGCAATAATAAATTCACTACTGCAGCAAGAATAAATCTCCCAGCAGTATCAATAAATTCCCCTGCTGCAATGATAAACCCCCCTAGCAGCAACAGTAAATCCCAACACCAGCAATAATAAATTCTACAGCAGCAGCAATAAATCCCCTGGCAGTATCAATAAATCTCCAGCAGCATCGACAAATCCCAGGAGAGCAATAATAAATTCACTACCAGCAAGAATAAATCTCCCAGCAGTATCAATAAATTCCCCTGCTGCAATGATAAATCCCCCAGCAGCAGCAATAAATCCTCCACTAGTAATCATATATCTGCCAGCAGCGTCGATAACTCCACCACCAGCAATGATAAATTCCCCAGACGCAACAATAAATCTCTCAGCAGCACTGATAAATCCCCCAGTTGCAACAGTAAATCCAACAGCAGCAATGATAAATCCTACAGCAGCAACAAAAAATCCCCTGGCAGCATCAATAAATCCTCTCACCAGCAATGATAAATTCCCCAGCAGCATTGGAAGCCCTACCCCCCCCAGCCAATATTGATAAATCCGCAATGAAAAATCCCCTCCGCAGCTATGATAAATCCCCCAGCAGCAACACTGAAGCCAACTGTTTCTCTGCAGTGCATTGTAAAGCAGTTGAATGCAAAGAATAATTTTTCCAGCTGCTGTTTAGAGCCTAGAGAACCCAGACAACCCCGCTGCCAGTACTTCTATACAGCCAGAATCTGTGTCTGCCAGTGGTGCCGGTAATGAAGTAGACAGGTACACTTCACAAAGTGACGGCATGCTTTGTATACGTGGGGCAGTCAGAGGGCTTAGCTAGCAGCATGTCCTGTACTGTCCTCTTCACCTTCTCTGGAGACCAGGCCTAAGGCTAGATTCCCACCTCTGCAGGTTGCGGTTGATGTGTTTCTCCAGTGCATTTTGCGGTGCGGTTTGCATTTTGACACACGCGATTTTGATGCTTTTTAATGCATTTTTGATGCGTTTTGTGTTTCACGTTTTTGGGATGCATTAATGTTGCTAGGGGGAGGTGTCTGTTGTCACGCAGGAAACGCACCAAAAACACATGTACATATGCTTTTCATTTGTTTTTGATGTATTGAACCAAAAACGCAATTTGCTGCGGGTAAAAAAGTCCCTGATCCTTTCCAAAAAAGGCAATGGTTGAAAACGCACAGATGTAAACGTGACCCCTTGGAAATCATGGTGAATGGACTGTTGTGCAATTTCTGTAAATCTGAAAACACAGGTTTGAACCAGCCGACATTCACACCCAGGCGGTTTGCAGTACGTTTTCAGATTTGGAGAAACACACCACAGTCTATTTGATATGTTTAAAGCTGAACATACACCCTACAATCTGATTGTACAGTCACCTTTAAATCTTGAAAAAGCTATGTATGTTTATGGTGGTCATACATGGTGCTATAAAACAAGCAATTTAGCTAAAAATTGATTGTACAGCAAACATAATTTGATTCAAATTCCATACAAATGTAATTCTGTATATGTTTTTTCCCACTTTCAGAAACCACTAAACAGCTCATCCACTCCCTCATCATATCACGACTCGATTATTGCAACTCCCTCCTTACTGGCCTGCCTCGCCGCTGGTTATCCCTGCTTCAGTCCATCCTGAATACGGCTCCCAATCTCATTCACCTTACCAACCGCTCCGTCTCCGCCACCCCCCTCTGCCAATCCCTCCACTGGCTTCCGATTGCGCAACGGATCAAATTCAGAATCCTAACACTGACGTACAAAGCTGTCCACCATACTGCCCCGAACTACATCACTGACCTAATATCCAAGTACCACCCAGCACGCACACTCCGCTCCTCACAAGACCTCCTTCTCTCTAGTTCCCTGGTCTCCTCCTCCCATGCCCACCTCCAGGACTTCTCCAGGGTGTCACCCATCCTCTGGAACTCCCTGCCCAATCCCATCAGATTATCACCTACTCTCCTCTCCTTTAGGTGCACCCTGAAAACCCATCAATTCAGGGAAGCCTACCCCACCCCCTGCTAACTTGCCGACCTCCTCCACTCTTCCTACCACTCCATCCCCCACAGCTATCTCCTCCTGTACCACTATCCCCTCCCTCCTAGATTGTAAGGCCCTCAATCCCCTCATGTTTTGCATTGTATTGGTATTGTTCTGTCCCCCATTGTAATGTACAGTGTTGAGCAAACTATTGGCGCTTTATAAATACTGTATAATAATAATAATAATTGTTGTCTTGTACTGAACTTCATAAGGTTATCATTGTTTTGTAGTGTACTGACATCTAGTGGTAGTTTCTGGCCCCTACAACTTGTTTGCTAATATCATTTGCTATCTTCCTCTGTCTTCCCCTCCTGTTTAGTGCTAGTTGGTTCCATCGTAGCTAGACCTTTCCCACTTCTTCCATGTTCCCTCAGTCAGTCAGTGTTAGTTATTCACAGAGACAATAGTAAGGAAAGTTGCTGTATTCTTAGATTTCTAAAGACTGGAAAAGCCTCCTCTGTACTCCAATTAGCTGACATAAAATTGTATTGGATTCAACTTCTGTGTAGTGAAGAGTTAACCTGCCTGAGGATGGTGTCAAGTCAGCAGGTAACTATACTGTGCAGATAGACTGGGTTTAAGGCCATATATCAATGCCTAAAGTGGCATTTAAAACAGAACAGTACTGATCATATCAAGCTGATTGGATGAGAACCCAGGGATTGGAAATGGTGAACTCTGGGAATTGATTAAACGCTGTTGGTTTACCCGGTACATCACTATCTGTTGCTCATCTCATGACCAGACCAGACCATGACCAGGCCTGACTGGATATGCATTAATTGGCTGTTTCAGGCATCCCCCATATTACATAGTTTTGGTGGTTTTAAACAATATTTTATGGAGATTGTACAATCAGATTGTAATGTGTATGGTCAGTGTATGGTAGATTGTAGAGATATTGTACAATCAGATCACAATGTATATGGCTAGCGAGAATCTTTATGTCGTGTGAGAAGGAGATACTCCCTGTAGTTGTTTTGCAGAGTTGTCAGAACCCTATGACTCTGCTAACAAGTCTTTTTTTTATTTTCTGTACCATTCTACATTAAATTCACACAGCAGTACGTTTCTGGAAAGGCAGGCTATGAATTACAATGTTTTTCATAAAATTAGCCTCCATTCCCTGGTTCTCCGTGAAATGAAGCAAAGCCCATTGTGCGCTGCTTTACTGTACATCAAGTTATTTGACATCTCATTTCACAAGCGCTGAGCAAAGTAAAGGAATTTCATGAATTAAAACACAAAGGAAAAAAGCTGCAGTCCTCCCATTGTAATCAGCCAGGGGATCTAGGATGCTTTGTTATCATAGTGCCATCTTGTGGTAGAATAGATGCTTGCATGCTCTAGCTTCAAGTGCCATTTTCATAGTAAATTCTGATGTCTTAGTAGACTCAGCGATGAAAAAAAAACCCCCAAAAAATAAAAACGTTTAACCTCATTTATCAATGTGTATCTTATCTACAGCCAAAAACTTTTTTTATTTTTTGCATGGAGTGTGGAATGGTTAGAGCACCTGTATGTTTTTGTTTCTTTGTCCATGTTGGGGAAATTTGCCCTTTCTATGTCCTGGTGACCTTTGTCAAGTTATTATTATTATTATTGAGTATTTATATAGCGCCAAAGGGTTTGCTCAGCGCTGTACATTAGAATGGGGGACAAGACATGAGACAATACAGTAACAATACAATACACGATACACGAGGGTTAGAGGGCCCTGCCCTTTCTAGCTTACAGTCTAGGAGAAGTTAGGAGTTATTAAAGGCAAATAGACTGAGCACTTTGCAAGTGCAGTTGCACACTGGAAGTGCAGTTGCTCCAGAGCTTAGTAAATTATTATTATTATACAGGATTTATATAGTACCAACCGTTTGCACAGCGCTTTACAAAATTAAATGAGGGAAAACTCTGCTGACTTCCATCATCCAATCATCTGCAAGCAAAAATGCAGTTTTTTTTTTTAAATTTCCCTTGCATGTGATTGGATATTATTTGCAAATTATAATGTCATCTCATTTACTAAGCTCTGGAGCAAATGCACTTGCAGAGTGCACAGTCTATTTGCCTTGAATAGATCAACCCCTTTGTAATACTAAATTTTGAGTTGCCACTGCAACAGAAGCAGATAGGACACTTGTTCTGGTGACAACTGACAAAAAGGGTTGAGAACTTCTGGTGAAAACTGACAAAAAGGGTTGAGAACTTCTGGTGAAAACTGACAAAAAGGGTTCTTCCTTTATTTTGGAGGGATCTCTTCTTACTTTCTGTTGTGTCTATGGAACAGAAACTGAGGGTAAGATTGTATTCCACATTGTGCTTTGTCACCTTTAAGGTTTTTGTAAACTCTCACCTTGTAAAACCACCCACTCAGTTTAAAACAGAAATGAAAGGCAAAACATTTGTGTTTAGATATAAAAACATTATACACATTATACACACCTTTGTTCCCCTTTTTATTTATAAGTGATCACATTCACTCTGTTCTCACCTGCATAAAAGCAGGGGGAGGAGAAACTGAATTACACTGATCTTTCCAGTGAAAGGCTGTAAAGGGGGGGGGGGGGGTCAACAAAAGTCTGATCATTGAAGGAGAGCAGACTGAGTTCCCAGCACAGCTAGAGAACTGAGCAAGGTGTGTTCTCCTGCCTAGTGTGGTCAGTTTTTAATAGGAAAGCAGAGGGGACTGGCAGGAACACCAGGGATTTCACACAAGGGAAGCAATACAAAGAGAACAGGATACTATTTCATGCTACAGCAGGCACATATCAGGAATAGGAAATGTTGGGTTTACATATTCTTTAATATAGTGAGTCCTTGTTTGTGTATGTATACAAGAATTAAGTCCATATGTTTTTTTCTCTTTTAGCCCACAGTGTGTGAAAGAGAGCTGTGTGTATTTGCTTTTCAAACATTAGGTGTAATGAATGAAGCCGCAGATGAAATCGCCACTGGTGCTCAGGTAGGTAAAAGCAACACTGCAACCTTGAGAATAATATTAATATTCTTTGAACAATAAATTGTACTAGTGTGTAAACACGGTTATATTTCCTTTGTTATTGTTATCATTTGTCTAGTTTTAGGTAATGAAGAAAATTTTAAATTTGATTTTAGAAAGACCGTGTAGCTGAAACACATATATAAACAAGCATGTCTTGAACTTGTAACTCAGTTGCACTGCCGATCTCAGCAGTTGTGAGAGTACACTTGTCTGGAGTCAGGAGAGCCTGTGTAGAGCATCCCTATGGGAAGATGAGAGGTTTATACTTGCTTACTTTGAGAACATCTACAGTTTGGTTTTAGTCCTGCACATTCACATTGTAGTCTTTAAACTGACCAGTGGCCTCAGTAGAGCGAAATCCTGATATGACTCCCTTGCTCCGCCATCTTTTTCACCCCTTCACATTTGACAGGTTTGACCTGCTCCTTTTATACTATTGACCTGTCCATTTGACACTATTGACCTGCTCATTCCACACTGTTGACTACCTCATTTGATATTGTCCACCTGCCCGCTGGATACTGTTGACCTGCTCATTTGATACCATTGACCTGCTCATTCCACAAAGTTAACCATTTCATTTGACCACTGTTTCATTTGACACTGTTACCATCATTTATTTGACTGATCATTTGAACTGTTGACTATCTCATTTTACACTGTTGACCTGCTCATTTGATACTATTGACCTGCTCATTCCACAAAATTGACCAGTTCATTTGACACTGTTGGCCAGTTTATTTGACAGTATTGATCACCTTAATTTGACACTGTTGACCACCTCATTTGACAGTGTTGATCAGTTCATTTGACACTGTTAATCAACTTATTTGACATTGTTGACCTGCTCATTTGACACTGTTGATCAGTTCATTTGACATTGTTGACCTGATCATTTGACACTGGAGACCTGCTCATTTGACACTGTTGACCTGCTCATTTGACACTGTTGGCCTGGTAATTCCACAAAGTTGACCAGCTTGACTCTGTTGACCATGAATACAGATGACACCTAGATCTCCCTTTCACATGATCCACCTACTCCTGTAACAACTGCAAATTGCCTGCTCACTATGGCTTTATTGATTTTTGACAGATACCTGAACTATAAAGGTATCCTATCCTCCCTCGAGAATAATGGGGCTGCTGTTGCTGACCTTTTCCTGGTCATCCTATTCATCTGATTAAAAAAAAATTTTCCTGCTCCCCTGAAGGCAATCGGATATTCCCTGGAAAAGCAATCTTTCAAGTATTTCATCTACATGGTTGTCTTTGGCAGTGACAATAGCTCAGATGTTCCAAGGCAGATGTGCAGATAGACACATAGGGGGAGATTTACTAAAACTGGAGCATGCAAAATCTGGTGCAGCTCTTCATAGAAACCAATCACCCTCCAGGTTTATCGCCAAAGCTTAAAGTAAAAATAATAGCAAAACTTCTATTTAGTTTTGGATAGATTGGAGATGGATTAGAACACCTGTCAGTTTTCATTGCTGTCAGTGCCCCCATTAGGGAGGTTCACCCTCTCGATTTGTCCTGTTTACCATTATCATTGAAAGTGAAAGTTTAAAAAAAAAATCACAATGTTAGGCTGTCCAAAGAAAAATAATAGAGGGGAAAGCTTCCAATGGGGACCTGGGGGAGCCCAAGGAATTCCCTTAATTCACAGGGATTTCTCCTTCCTATTTGGCTATGGGACAGGAAGTGAAGCAAATTCTCCACAATGGGACACAGATGGTGAATAAAAATCCGACAGGGGTTATGATTCTCCCTTACTCTATCCAAAATGACCAAAAACGTTTTGCCAATAGTTCTGCTCTAAAACAAGCTGAAGTTAGAAGTTGATGCACAGCTGCACCAGATTTTGAGAGCTCTAGTTCTTCAATATCAACCCCATAGAGTCAGTACAGCTATGTAGTACCTTTACTAATATTGCAACTGCAGTACAAGTGTTTTCCCAGCATTTGGCAACCAAAAAGAGTGGCACTTTTTGTATGCTTTTCTGCCCAAGAATATTTATGTTAATCCTTGTCCAGAATATTTCAGAATTTGAATGTTTCTTATATTTCATAAGTCATTTCAGTATATGCAGTCCTTTCTTGTTGATGTGTTTTGTTTCAAGGTTGTAGATCTGCTAGTATCCATGTGTCGGTCTGCTTTGGAATCTCCAAGGAAAGTTGTTATATTTGAGCCATATCCTTCGGTGGTAGACCCCAATGATTCTCAGACCCTGGCCTTTAATCCCAGAGTAAGTGTTCACTAGTATGCTTTCACACTTCTTCAGTTCAATATGTGCTATACACACACACACATGAAGCTCAATTCACAAAGCTTTAAAGAGGGGTAAGGTTCTTTTTTTCAGCTATGTGATGGTAGTTTTCAACGTATTAGATTCAGCTGAAAATAGCTGTCTTTTTTAGGTTTGTGAATTGAACCTATGGCGTTCATAAAAGTAATTCTTTGATTGGCTGCTGTGTGCAACACAGACATGTGTCTTCCATTGATTTACAACTGATAGTAAATGAGCCACAACTGCTGCCCTCCTTGAGAAAGGTGCTAGCTGCCTGGCTGTGTTTGGCCGACCACTTGAGCTCCGGAAAGGTTTTAGACCATTCATGATCAGGCCATTTTTTGCTCTTTAGCACTGCGCTACTTTAAAGTGATCCTAAAGGCCTATTTTATAGAGGAGATAACAAACATGTCTATACTTACTGCTGTGTGGAGCGGTTTTACACAAAGCAGCCCAGAGCCTCCTCTTCTCGGGTCCCCCACCGGCACTCCTGTCCCCTCCCTCCTGTTGGGTGTTCCCACAGCAAGCAGCTTTGCTATGGGGGCACCCACTGCTCCATGTGTCCATTCACACATGAAGCAGCGACTCGGCCCTGCCCCCTCTCTCTACTCATTGGCTCACTGGCTGTGATTGACAGCAGTGGGAGCCAATGCCTCCTGCTTCTGTCAGAGCCAATGGGAAGAGGGAGTCCTGGGATAGCCAAGACTCCAGTGCACATTGTTGGATCGAGAGGGGGCTTAGGTGAGTATTGGGGGGGGGGGGTTTATCGGGGGTGCTGCACAGAGACGGGTTTTTTTAGAACCACTTTACCTGGTAATTGTGCAGTCACGTAACACTGAACAGTGGAAATTTATCTTTTTTTTTTTCACACAAATAGAGCTTTTTTTGGTGGTATTTGATCACCACTGGGTTATTTAGTTTTTGTGATACAAACAAAAAAATGAACATTTTGAAAAAAAAACAATATATTTTAGTCTCTGCTAATAAAAAATTAAAAAAAAATTAATTTCTTCATTAATTTAAGCCAAAATGTATTCTTTTTTTCTGCTACATGTCTTTGGTAAAAAATACCAATAAATGTATAGTAATTGGTTTGCGTGAAAGTTATGTCTACAAACTATGGTATATACTGACATTTTTTAAATACTAGTAATGGCAGCGGTCAGCGACTTATAGTGGTACTGTGATAGTGCGGCGGGCAATCTAACACTAACTGACTAAATGACCCTGAATCACCAGTGACACTAATACAGTGATCAGTAATATTATACACTGTCACTGTACTAATGGCTTTGGCTGGGAAGGGGTTAACATCTTTGGGTAATCAAGTGGTAAGTGTGTGCCTAACAAGTGTTAATGTGTGTAATATGTGCTGATTTTTGCTAAAAATGTTTTTTTACCTTCTCCCTGCTTTGCAGGGAGACACAGCCGATCAGCAGGTCCGGGCCATGAATTGTTGGCTCTGTCTAATCACAGCGGGAGTTGGTGGTTGTGGGTGGGGGGGGGATGAGTGTGCCTGCCCTGTATCTGGAAGAGGTTAGCGACTTACAGGTACATCGCTGCACCTGTACGGTCTGCCCATCCGCAATACATTGCGGGCAGGCTGTCCTTAAGTGGTTAATGATGTTCTATGTTGCTGACTAAAGGTTCCAAACTGTGGAAAACTGTCATATGACAGCAGGTTGCCGTCCCAATCACATGCAGCTGTGGAATTCTCTGCCCCATCATCACATGTAACAAAGAGTGACATCACATACAACATGCTGGTGACATCATTGGCCTAATAATATTCGGTCAATGACATTGACCAAATATTGCCATGTGGGCACATTAGTTCAATGATGTCACCATCACCCCTGAAATTCCATTGTGGAATTCCATGACCACAGGTGATTGGGACGGCAGCCTGCTGTCATGTGACAGTGTCCCTCGGGTTGAGTTAGAATGTATTAATTTGAAACTTGATATAAAACAGATCAAAGTTAGAGGATCAAAATGACAGCCAGGCAACTAAGAATTTAAATAGGAGATTAGTAATGACACCACCTTTACGTTTCCCATGACAGACTTGTCCCACTAAAAAATATTTTAATTGTAGGTAAAGTCTAGGGAGCTGAGTCATTCAGTGACTTCTTGTAGGACCTGTCTGCCATGGCTCTGTTTTTTGCCCACCCCAGAGTTCTAGTTCTGTCCAGCTTTATTTGTATTCTCCAAAATATAAAAAAAAGAGTTCTGTCCCTTTGTAATGGCAGGGACAGGTGAACAGACTCACCGCAGAGTTCATTGGAGTTCCCAAGAGACATCAGGAACTAGCTCCTAAATTAAACATCATTGTTTGTCTTCATCTGTTTTAAATGCATTGCAAGCTCCTTGACCCATCTTTATTTTTTTTTTAACAGAAAAAGAATTACGACAGAGTTCAGAAGGCACTAGACAGCATCGCTTCTATCAGAGAGATGACTCAAGTAAGCACCGGCCCTAATTTTTACTTCTGTATTTAAAAGGCAAATGCATTGTAACATGCATATATACCAAGTATTGGGTTGACTTTTATTCCTTCAGGTTTGTCTCTGATAACTTTTACATGTGCTTAAAAGAGAAGTATGGACTTAAAAGAAAAATGATACTCAGGTGGATGCAGTATTGATCCGATGCTTCATCTGTCCCTGTCTGTCTCTCTAGTGAGAGCTGAGCAATCAAACCGCTCAGTTCTCCCCTCTGCTCTTAGCAGCGAGCCGTGACTGTCATCCTAGGTTCACATCTGTGTGGGTGGTGCCGCTGCGGATCCACACGAACATCCGTGCAGCCGCACCACCCGCACAGAAATGTGGACCCGCGGGCGGGTGCCATTAATTTTAATGGCACGCCGCCTGCACTGGAAAACGCAACCATACTGGGAACTGAGGTTCCTGTGCAGGCTGTGTTTTCCAAAGAAGTGTAGGGACTTCCTTCCTGCGTGTCACGGGCCGGGAGTCCATTCAAATGCCTGTGCAAAACGCGGCCTGCACGGCTGCATGCATGTGAACCAGGCTCTCCGCTCTGCCCCCCCTGTGCTCACTGGAGAGTTGGCCTGTGGATGGGGAGAGAGGGGCTGGCTTAGGATCTTGACAGATTGCAGAGAGGCTGAGCCAGGTGCCAATCCTGGCTTCTGGGTGGATCTCGACTATATGATCAGGATCATTCCAGATCTTGGACCAGCTCTGTGACATCAGCCGACAGCAGTCTTTAACCCGCTGATGGCTGAAAACGGATCACAGAACGAACTTCACTCCTGTGATCCATAGGAGAAGTACAGCCAAAAGAGCTTTGCTGTACTTCTTCTTTACAGCTAGATTTACACTCTGGCACTTTTTGTATGTAATTGCTCATCTGAAAAGTTACATGTACATAGAGCCTCCGACTAACCTTTGACAAAGCCAGTGTGTGTCCACAGTCGTCTTTTCTGCAGAGTTCTGTCTGCACACTAACTGGCCATAGAAATCTATCCACACCCATACGGCCATGTGAATGTAGCTTAATAGTACACATGATGAGAAAATCGGACGAAAAATACCGCTTTCAGAGCGATCATCCGATAATCTGTTCGTTAGTACACAGCTTTCGAGAAACCGACCATGACAGTTCATGCAAAATTATCCAAAGGGACAAACACAAAAAATCTTCTTGTAAGATAACAGAATGAACGATTTTAATTTAATCAGCGTAGTATTCATCAGTAAAAATCGAGTGATCAAGACTGCGCATGCTTGGAAATAAAAGAATACATTACAATACAATATATTACATCATCAGAGGAAGTTGTATTTTGTCTTACAAGAATTTTTGTAACTCTAGTAACCTATTCATTTTCGATATGAAACTATCATACAAAAAAATACATTGGACCATCATTCCTCAATTGTTTTCAAAATGTGTATCAGGCGTTAAGTGTGTTTGTATGTTGTTTCATTCAAAGAAGCTGTACTACTATAGCTCTCTGAATGAAGGACAGGCAAATGAATGGAATACCTTCCTTCTTTATTCACAGAGCACTTTTCATTGCTGGTATCTATAGTGCAGCTTCTATGAATGGTAAGGATGGCCATAATTGGCACTCTTGACAAATGCCTGTGACAGGTGCAGTGCCTGTATTAACTCTCGCAGCTCTGGAAGATTACTGCTGCGAGAATATGGGCAGGGGGCTGGGCGGGGGTGGTGCGTCAGGCAATGGGAGATTTCAACTCAGAGAGCAGCCACTAGCACAACACTTTTGTATCAATATAAGTACTGTTCCATGTGGTGCTTAAAAAATAAAAGCAATAAACTAAACATAGCTTTAAGGGAAACCTGTTGCTTTGCACAGCTTGGGAAAAGAAATGTCTGTTTTAAAGTGCTCCTGTTGCTACTGGGGGGCAATGCAAAGTTCTTTTGTGCATGCTGCTTGCATTAGGAAAGTGTTTCTCATAGCCAACATTTCTAAGAGATGGAAGTTACAAATTGTTGGCGGTCAAGTTTTAGGTTCCATTCTCACTTGTACGGCTGCAAAGTCATGCGATTTTGGAGCGCAACTTTGGGTGCAACTTTGGATGGGTACAACTTGGATGTGACTTTGGCTTTGACCAATGATAATGGACAAATGTTCCAGAACGGTTTCATGTATAACATTCAGGTGCAACTTTCGAATGACTTTTGGGAGTTTACATTGCAGTCTATGGCACTCAAGTTATATGAAAGTTAGACTTAAGTAGTGCAGGAACCTTTTTAAAGTCACTGCAACTTTAAGTCACACATATTTGAATGGTTGTCATTGAAAAACATGAATTTTCATGCGACTTTAGTGTTCAATATCGCATGATAAGTTGCATAAGTTTGAATAGAGCCTTAGGGGCTCCCTGCAGCACTGGTTTGACATGTGGAAGGTCAAAAATTAGATTAGATTAAGCCATGTAAAATGAAAGAGCGGGGTCAGCGCATGCTGAAGCGCACAGTGAGCAGAAGTCACCAACCGTCTGCAGAGTTAGTAGCTAAAGACCTCCAAACTTCATGTAGCCTTCAGATTAGCACAACAACAGTTTGTAGAGAGCTTCATGGAATGGGTGTCCATGGCCTGAGCAGCTGCATCCAAGCCTTACATCACAAAGTGCAATGCAAAGTGTTGGATGCAGTGGTGTAAAGCACGCTGCCACTGGACTCCAGAGCAGTGGAGACGTGTTCTCTGGAGTGATGAATCACACTTTTCTGTCTGGAAATCCAATGGATGTGTCTGGGTTTGGTGGTTGCCAGGAGAACAGTATCTGCCTGACTGCATTGTGCCAAGTGTAACGTCTGGTGGAAGGGGAATTATGGTGTGGGGTTGTTTTTCAGGGGTTGGGCTTGGCCCCTTAGTTCCATTGAAGGGAACTCTTAAGGCGTCAGCATACCAAGACATTTTGGTCAATTTCATGTACACCAGTGCACAAAGCAAGGTCCATAAAGACATGGATGAGCAAGTTTTGGGTGGAGGAATTTGACTGGCCTGCACAGAGTCCTGACCTCAACCCGAAAAAAAAACACCTTTGGGATGAATTAGAGCGGAGACTGCGAGCCAGGCCTTCTCATCCGACATCAGTGCCTGACCTCACAAATGCGCTTCAGGAAGAATGCTCAAACATTCCCATAGACACCCTACTAAACCTTGTGGAAAGCCTTCCCAGAAGAGTTGAAGCTGTTATAACTGCAAAGGGTGGGCCAACTCAGTATTGAACCCTATGGACTAAGTCTGGGATGCCATTAAAGTTCATGTGCGTGTAAAGGCAGGCCAACCAATACTTTTGGCAATATAGTGTATCAGGAATATGAAATGTTGGCTTTACCTATTCTTTAAACCACTACTTCAGCTACAGGTATAGACTGAATCCCATTCTGTTTTCTTATATCTCACACTGACTCCAGAAGTGAGCTCTGCTTCTACATTCATCAGAGTCTTGCTATTCATTACTATTCCTGACATACCTAATATATAAAATAAACTGACTAGCTGCAGAGGGAGCATGAGATGCCAATAGTGATTGTACAGGTAACACAGCCACAGTCCCCAAGAGGAATTTAGGACAAATATAAAACACCCTTCACTACAGTTTTGTATCTCATTTTAAAATAAAATATATTTTAATCTGTTGCTAATTGTATTGTGCGAAATCTTTCTTTATATTATTCTCTCAGAAAATTATACTAAGGTGTGTGAATCACAACACTGACTGAACAGACTTGATATATTTTGACGGCTTATGCACTGTATTTTGATGGCTTGTGTACTGTACGTGTGTGTGTATAAATAAATATATATATTATTATTTAGCTACCTGACCGCTGCTTTAACCTGTTGCTGCCCATGTAACACATATGTGCATCAAAATATGGGATGACCTTTTAACACCCACATGTCCCACAATTGCGCCCATGAGCAGACAAGTTTTCTGTGCTGAGAACGCACTCACTGCAAGCTCCCAGCACAGTGACTGAGCTGTCAGAGACATCTCATGATCTCTAGTAATAATCTAGAGCTGGCAGGACCAGCTCCTGTGACCACTCTAACAACCAATCACAGTGGTCACATGATCGGTCACTTCTTCCCACCCCCCACCCCCCTTCCCCCCAGGCTTACAGACCTTGGTAAAGGGACACTAGGGGGGAAGGGGTTAAGATGGGAATTAAATAAACCCTAACTCCAGGAAGTAGAAAAATTCTACCTTTGCATTGGGGGCCCCGGGCTGCAAGCGTTAAATGCTCATTCTGTCTTGGAGATACAGGAACCAGGGGTGGACTGACCATTTGAAACTCGGGCACTGCCCGAGGACCCGGGGTCAGTAGGAGGCCCCATAAGATGCCCCTGGTACCTTTTTCATAGGCTTTTTTGAGTTTGGGCAAGGACACAGGGGCCCCATGATCCCCTATTGCCCGGGGGCCCCATGAGTTGTAAGTCCGCCCCTGACAGGAACAGGAGGATTGCTTACCCCATCCCCATTGCGGCCAGCTCCAATACTGCCTGCTTCTCCCCAAAGGTTTCTGTGGCCTCATGACATACAATGCATGACTGTTAACCCTGTATTGTACATGGTGAAGGTGAGCATGGCACTGTGCCTTAGAGAGGAAGCTGTGAGGTCCCGTCACATCACTGGCGGGACCTGCTTGAGCATTGAGCAAGCTAGGTATTTCCCCTTATTCCATCACCCATAGACATAATGAGCACTTCGATTTAACCCTTGCAGTGCATGGGGAGCCCCACTGTAATTGTAGATTGTTCCTAATTCCCGTAGTCAGGCTTTAACTCACCGAGAGCTAGCCAAAACAAAATTATATTCATTTTATGTGCATTTTCCTTTCCAAATTATTTGATACATAATACAAGCGATGTCGATTGACAGGAGGCAGCAGGTAACCTGAGTAACCTGCCTCTTAGCGCTGAAGTTCCCATGAGCTGGGCGGCCTGTCCTCATATGACCTTATATAACTCTTATTATACAGTTCTGTATCACAGCCAAGGCTACCATTACTAATTAATGGCGTGCCTTACTTTTAAATAGCGTTTGGTCGCACAAATTAAATTCTCCATCTTACTTCATCTTGGCATTAAATCTGTCTATGTGTTGTTTGTTTAGAGATTGCGCGGTTCTGTTATATGTATTTTATTTTTATTGCTCCAGGCACCTTATTTGGAAATCAAGAAGCAGATGGATAAGCAAGATCCCCTGGCCCACCCTTTGCTGCAATGGTTTGTGCTGCTATTTATACACCATACAGTCTACAGCTCTTCCTGAGAAATGCATTATCGTCTTAATGAAATTTTTTGCTGTGCTATTGGAAAAATAGGAAATCTATCTGAGATGGGGACTGAAATAGCAGAGCCTGACTGTCAGATAAACCGGGATCTAACCCATCTCGTGTCCTAGATTTGTTGCAAGATACCTCCACATGGTGGCAGCCCGATAAAATAAAAGGCAGCTCGGGGAAATAAAAGAACATTTTTTTTTTGGGGGAAAGTGACTTTTTGATTCATAGATTTATATATAAACAGACAGCTAGAAAATCAAATTATAGTGTTTAGAATTATTAGACTTATTTAAGGTGGTGTACGTTGAGGACACACTGTTGTCTTCTGAACATCCAGCCAAATGAAACATGTTTTCAGTGTAACCATTTCCCCATTTTCTTTCTTTTCCTGTCCTTTAAGAGATGTTGTTTTTTATTTATTACAGACATTTATATTGCACAGACACTCTTTGCAGTGCATTACATACCCTACAATCGTGTCAGTTAAAAACAAAAAAAATTGTGACATCAGTGTGCACATTAGATAGATAGATTAAGCCCAGTGGTCTCCAAACTGTGACCCTGGGGCCAGATGTGGCCTTTTGTTTGTCTTTATCTGGCCCTTGAGGTATTATTCCTGCTACTGACACCAATAATGGGGCACTAGTCCTTCCATTGACACCAACAATGGGGAATAATGGACCAAGTTTAGCAAGGGCGCACTGAGGACTGTGTTAAAATTATGTTCATGGGATCTTCTCTAGGGCAGGGGTGACCACAAGTCGCCTGCGACCCCATCAGCCCACACGCGGGTCGTGGGGCCACACAACAAAATCATAAACTTACATTAAAAGAATGCTTTTTTTGGCTAGGAATTTTTTGTTAAAAATGCATTTGACAGACATTAGCGAACAACTCATGCCGGGCCAAATGAAAAAAATTGTGAGATATTTGCGTCCACTTTCACCCTGGACTTTTATAAGTTTAATACTTGCACCGAACAAACAAATTCCACCCAGCTCTTTCACACATCGACCACTGCACCTTATTCCATGTCATTCACAATGTTTTGCGTACTACACTCATATGATTTGTAGAGCAAAACTATTTTCAAGGATGCAGCACACAAAAGGGCAGCAAAATCTCAGAACGCGCAAAATAGTCTGAATGCGCAGCGCTTGAGAGAAATAGTTTACCAATAACTTGCTACAGCTAGATCCATGTTCAACCAGATATTAACATGTGTTAGTAACTAGTTCAATACAGATGTCAATATATTGCACTTAATGTTTATGTTGCCTCCTCAGCTTTATATTTTTAACACTATTTAAGTATAAAAAAAAGACAGTAATCAATCGCAAATTTTTATTACTCAGATTGCGTACAATTATCTATATCAGTGATTGTTTAGACGTTTGTGATCTGCGCACACCTCCAAACATTTATGCTTCTGCTGCATCACGCTATCCCTTAATGTTAGGTATGAGTTTTATGTGTTTGGTCCGTAGACTCAATGTTCCCCTCTTTTTTTTCCATTGTAGCCCCTGGAAAAGATCAGAAAAGGTTGGGGCATCCCTGAGTCTAGAGAGACTACCCTCTTGATGTGGTCTGCGCTCCCTACAACGCACAAAATGCTCATCGCTCTGGTTATGGGCCAAGGTCGACAAGACCCAGATCACGGTGTCGCCGCTCGATCTCAGCAGCATCAGTCCAAGTGCAGTGGAGCTGGAGCCTGGCCGATGGCAGACTGAACGAGAAGCTTGGTGCAGCATTACAGCTGAATGCACTTCCTCATGTTAGCGATACTGCCTCCTCGTTATCAGGTGGAGAGCGACTACCAAGTGCACGCTTAGCCTAATGACCCTTTTTCTAGCAGCCCTAACGAATGCCAGCAGGAAGCTGGACAGTGAAAGAAAGGACAATTGTAATTAAGCATGTACACATTAGTTTCTGTAAATATGCATATTAAGCACTTCTTATTTAAAAGAAGGATTATTAGCACTGCCTTATCGATTCCACCCCTGAAACCACAAGTGCACCCTGCGGATCATTTCCTTGGTGGGTGTTGTAGGATTCCAGTCTGAGCCATAGACATCTGTTAAATGTTTCCTGTGGGAGTGTTTGGTTGGCGCTACTTGCTGTGAACAGTGCACCAATAACCTCTCCTGCAATGTTGACCTGCAATTCAATTGATGAGAGTGGCACCGAATTATTCACAAATTCCTCGGTATTCGGCGTCTGATGTCAGCCCCGATATTACAGCCGAATAATATGTTGCTGCTCTCGAGGCACGAATTATATTCGCGCCTGCGAAAATTAACTATCGTTATAGAACAAGGGTGTTTTTCCTAGGCGTCTATAGAGTAGCCTTTATATTAGTCGTGCAGAAATCACTTGTTCGCCCTTTAATTATAAATGCTCCTTGGAGGTCTGCTGTGGAAAGTAGAAATACTTTACTGGTCTCAGTCAGTATGACATGCAGCATCGAGTGGCCGGGGCGACTATTAGACAATCCAACACCGCACATCGTATAGACTCATTTTGGCAGGGTGCCACTCACAAGCGGCGCTCCAAAACCAGAGTATTGGAGCGACCAGTAGTGGCGGTGGAAGGGCTATGCAGCAATGCGGAGGCTCATACGAGCACCCCATTGACACATATGCGAGACCACACTAGCTCAAGTGTGACGGAACCTGAATGTGAGGCACATGGCAGACGAGTGTGGCTGAGATGGAGGGAACAATCAGCACAGTGCGGTAGGCCGTACCAGGGGATACCCATTGAACACATCTCTTGGACTCTCCGGCAGTCTGCTTGCCTATGAGGAACGGCATGTAACCAAGTGCGGGCCCATGACAGATTACGGGCGCCTGGCACGCACGCATGAGGAGTCAGGTACGGGGGACCACATGGCAGTTTTACGGGTCCTGAATGGCAGCAGCCTATGAGGAGGCACGGTACACGGAGCCCGCCCTTGGGCAGAGAGTGGCGGAGCGTAAAAGCACGCTAAAATTGAGAAGGGCCATACAGTAGAGCCCACTATGTTAAAATACGATCCCTCCAAGCCTCAGCATGCAGATGGGGAGAGCCAGTACTATGCTTAGAGAGTGCCAAAATGGCAGAGTGAGCGGAGCAGATATCAGCCTGCCTTCAATTGAAGGCGCTCAGTACAACGAGGCCTAGGATTAGAAAAGATCGCTCACCAGTTTAATTCCAGTTATAACGAACGCTATCTCCTCCGTGCAAGTCTACTTACGAGACCCCTGGGGCAGAGTCTGCGGGTCCAATTTGTGTGGTGAGAGACTCTGGTTTATGAATCCAGCCACTCGCCTAAAACGCATAATGTCACACCCACCACACCACACTACCCATGCTTGATCGAGAAAAAAACCAGGACCTGTGCTGCCCTATTGGTGTCAGGAGCCCTTAATGCGTCACAAACATCTGAATTGTCCCGAGCAAATGTGTCATACGATTTGCGCGTTGTAAGTGATGCAAACCCGCTTGTAACTCCGCACGTTTCCATAGACGGAGCCGGGGTACAGAGGGGCCATGAGACATCACGTATGTGACTCTCTGGCAAGCAGCGTGAGCAACACGACAGTAGTCACATGGACGACAGTGGTGGTCTGGTGTAAGGCAGCATTTATTCCTGATGCCATACACAGGCCTAGGTTAAAAAGACGGGAAAGTAAGCCGTTCGCAAGCGCGGCGTGAGCAGAACGGACTCATAAGTCACATGGACGCAGGCGTGGCGGGTGGATAGCGGAGCGAGTAATTTACGGAAGCCAAACACAGGCCGTGGCGTCAGGTTAAAAAGTGCTCGGAGCCAGAGTCATGCGCAGAGTGAGCAGATGACCAGAGGCACACATGGGCGCACGGGGCGTGGCGTTTGTGGAGGATCAAGCCGTGCTGCAGCAATGGAAACGGCCATACTGCAAACCGTGATCACAGAGAATGCGAACCCACCCAACAGTGTCCTGGAGACCTGAAAGTGGCATCAGGCAGAGTCTCTGGCTGATGATAGATCGAGGACAGCAATAGGTGCAGCCGGTACAGGGACCCATGAGCACACTCTGGGGACCGTGGCAGCAAGCTGCAAAGGAGGGCGCGAGAGGTAGCGTAACTGGTGGCCCATGGGCGAGTGACGATAGCGTAAGCAGCATAAAATGTGAAACGGCTCTATACAGTGTACCTATGTCTAAAAGAGTCCCTCCCGTAGCAGCAGTGTGGGGAGACACAGAGATATCAATGAGCTACCTAATGGCTGAGTTGGTTGGAGCCAAGAAGCAGCTTCAATTGAAGGCGTCCATCACACAGGCGCCCTAGGGTTATAAAATGTCCTCCCAGCAGCAGCGTGGGGAGGACGACAATCAAAAGAGTCTCCAATGGCAGAAGGTGGCGGAAGCGGAGAAGCAGATTCAATTGGGAAGGAGCCCATACTCAGGCACTGGTTATAGAAAAAGTCCCCGCAGCAGCAGTGTGGTGGTGAGAACGACTGCATCAAGATGTACCAACTGGCTGATGTTGGCGATCTCGGGTAAGTCTAAGCGTTGTGCAATTGTCAGATGCAATGCAGAGTATTCTATGGAGGTGAGTCGCCGTTGAGAGTGCGCAGAAGATCATATAACCGTTCGTACTGTACCATCCCATAAGAACTGAACAACCCAGCGAAGCCGGGAGCTTTTAATGTGCCCGTGACCTGCTGAGCAGCTTCTGGGTATACCCAGAGTTTGGCTTGGGTGTCTTTCTGTGAGGTGAATATAGTATGAAACCAGTACTGAAACAGAAAAGGCATTGTATGACGGAAGTGGGCAACCAGTGTCAAGTGTCTCCGGAGGGGTAATATAGTTCCGCAAAGGTCTGTCCACTGAATGGCTATATCAGAACGGTTCAGACGAACCACATGAAGTGGAGCTTGCCGTCTTAAAATCCAGCAGCTTGAATGTGGCAGTCGGTGAA